TCTGGCCTCCCTCTGGCCTACTCTCTGGGCCCCCCTCTGCTCCTCTCTGGGCCCCCCTCTCCTCCTCTCTGGGCCCCCCTCTGCTCCTCTCTGGGCCCCCCTCTCCTCCTCTCTGGGCCCCCCTCTGCTCCTCTCTGGGCCCCCCTCTCCTCCTCTCTGGGCCCCCCTCTGCTCCTCTCTGGGCCCCGCTCTCCTCCTCTCTGGGCCCCCCTCTCTTCTCTGGGCCCCCCTCTGCTCCTCTCTGGGCCCCCCTCTGCTCCTCTCTGCAGGCCCCCTCTCCTCCTCTCTGGGCCCCCCTCTGCTCCTCTCTGCAGGCCTCCCTGCCCCTTCCTTTTCCTGCCCCTGGGAACATTTCCTTGGAGACACTGTGACCTGCCCAGGCCCCCGCCTTACCCACAACCCACAAAGGTACATCCTGCACACCCTGGCTGTGGTCTCTTTGAAATTGGGACTCCAGGCTTGACAGGTCAGATCTGGGAGGGGCGGGGTGGGGAGCCAGGTGACCTCACTGCCCCCCCTCCCAGCTGGAACATTCATCTCAGAGTTCCTAACCTGGCTAGGGCAGCTGGAAAGACAGGGCCACGCAAGGGACAGGCCTGCCAGCTACCAGGGACGGTGGGACTGCGTCCAGGATGCCCGGTCATCAAGCCCGGTACTCGGCAGCAAGGCAGTGCTGGACTCTCACGGCCGTGTCCTATCTTCACCTTTCTTCATTAGCTTCATGGAACCCTGATTATTGTTCTTGTGGCTGAAAATATAACAGAGAAGCAAACTGACAAGTCCCTGCCCTCTCCGGCCACAGAAAGTGAGCTCAGGGGGAAGGCTGCAGAGATGGCTCAGTGCTTAAGAGCACTGACTGCTCTTTCAGAGGATCCAGGTTTGATTCCCAACACCCACATGGTGGCTAACAACCATCTGTAACTCCAGTTCCAGCAGATCTGATGCCATCCTCTGGCTTCCACAGGTATTGCACATCACAGATGCATTTATATACATGCAGGCAAACACTCATACACATAAAATAAAAATAAATAAACCAGAAAAGAGAAAGAAATGACAAGAGACTAGATGTGTGTGGTGGTGGGGGGGGTTCTTGGTGACCTCTATGGATGCTGCTTACCTCAGAGAGTGATTCCAGTCCTCCACAGCTCCCAGCCCCCAACCTGTGGAGCTAGATCAGAGTTCCCACCCCAGTACCTTCAAGGGTCAGGCAGACTGTTCAAATGAGAGAAGCTGATGGGGTAAGACAATAAAGCCGAGTAGTGACTGTGGCCCAGGAATGAAGCCCACTTGTGCTGACAATTTTCCCTAAGAACAAAACCCTGGGGCGGTGTGGACCAGTGGCTAAGTGGAGTGCTGGGTAGAGAGAGGGTAGAGGGATTAAGTCTGCCTGGAGAGTTCACCAGACACCTGCGAGGATAGGGTATCTGGGCCAGAGGAGTCCTGTCAACCAGCAGGACATGGGAATGGCAGGCTCAGTCCTCGTGACCAGTCTGAGGGCCCTCCTCTGATACCTTCGCACCCCTGGATTGCACTTCCACTCACCCAGGACAGCCTGGAGGGAGGGGGATCTATAGAGCCCAGAGCTCTGGACCATTACCTGG